ACCGATGCGGATCACCAGGACTTACTTTACCACTCTCGTGTCCGCTGGTTAAGTTTGGTCAAAGTGTTTCAACAAGTGTTTGAGCTCAAAGAGGAGATTAGCACATTTTTCAAGTTAATGGGGAAATCCAACAAATTTCCTGAGCTGAGCGACAAGAACTGGTTTTGTGACTTTGCATTTGCTGTTGACATTTTTTCACACTGAATGTGAAGCTACAGGGGAAATATCAGTTTGTGCATGACATGTACACAAATGTGAGAGCCTTCAAATCCAAGCTGACTTTATTCTCCAGACAAATTTCAAACAAATCTTTCACTCATTTTCCCACACTAGGCATGCAGAAAGAGGCCACCCGAAACACGAAGAAATACTGCAAATCAATGGACGACCTGCACGGAGATTTCTGCCGTTGTTGTTCTGATTTTGAAAAAGTTGACAAGTCACTTCAGCTGGTGTCCTGTCCCCTGTCACAAGACCCTGAAACAGCACCACAGGAGCTGCAATTGGAACTAATCGATCTTCAGTCTGACTCCGTTTTAAAGGAGAAGTTCAACTCTCTTAAACTGAATGACTTTTATGCTTCACTTAACAAAGTCACGTTTCCAAACCTCCGGAGGACAGACAGCACAGAAGATGCTGGCGTTGTTTGGCTCGGCCTATGTGTGTGCGCAGACGTTCAGCATCATGAACATAAACAAAGCCAGTCACAGATCCATGTTAACTGAACAACACCTCAGATCTATCCTGAGAATAGCCACAACAAAACTCCAGACTTTGATGCACTGCCTAAAAAGGAAGACAACACTGTTCCCACTGAAACTGAAGGTTTATTTCTCTACTGTGTTATGAAAAAAATGCATTTGGAGAATAATTTGTACAATAAGCCTTGCATGTTCATATGTCATTTATATTAGTTCACACAAACACTCCATCCTTCTGCTCCCGGCCTGGCCCCTCTGTCAAATTTTAGAACCCACTGTGGCCCGTGAGTCAAAAAGTTTGCCCTCACCTGGTCTAGACCTTACTATTATCACTATTATTACAGGGATAACCCAACAAATCCCCCTTGAGCAAGCACTTTGTGACAGTGGGGAGGAAAAACTCCCTTTACCGAAACCTCCGACAGACCTCCGACAGACCCCGTGCTCTTGGTAAGCGGCCTTCTGCCTCGACCGTTTGGGGTGAGTGGATAAAGGAGAGAGAAATAATCAAACAGTGGGCAGGTTGATGTGGCCATTGACTGCTAATCAGAAATGTAGAGCTCCAGATCCAGAAAGGTACAGGGAGAGAGAGAAAGAGGAACACACAGTTAGTGACATGTAATGGTGGCATATAGATCCATGGAAAGAGAAGAAAGGAGAGAAACTCAGAGCATCATGGGGGCCCCCAGCAGTCTAGGCCTATAGCAGCATAACTAAGGGAAGGCTCAGGGTCACCTGATCCAGCCCTAACTATAAGCTTTATCAAAAAGGAACATCTTAAGTCTAGTCTTAAAGGTAGAGAGGGTGTCTGCCTCCTGAACTGAGACTGGGAGTTGGTTCCATAGGAGAGGAGCTTGATAGCTAAAGGCTCTGCCTCCCATTCTACTTCTGTGGACTCTAGGAACCACAAGTAAACCTGCACTGTGAGAGCGAAGTGCTCTGTTAGAATGATAAGGCTCTACGAGGTCTTTAAGATACGATGGAACCTTGTCATTAAGGGCTTTGTATGTTAGGAGAAGGATTTTAAATTCTATTCTAGATTTTACAGGGAGCCAGTGGAGAAAAGCTAATATGGGAGAGATATGATCTCTCTTGTTAGTTCCTGTCAGTACTCTGGCTGCAGCATTTTGGATTAACTGGAGGCTTTTTAGGGAATTATTTGGAAATCCTGATAGTAAAGAGTTACAGTAGTCCAGCCTGGAAGTAACAAATGCATGGACCAGTTTTTCAGCATCACTTTGAGACAGGATGCTCCTGATTTTCACAATATTGCGCAGGTGAAAGAAGGCAGTTCTAGAGACTTGGTTTATGTGTCATTTAATGGACATATCCTGGTCAAAATGACTCTCACAGCAGTACTGGAGGCCAGAGCTATATCATCTAGAGTAACTACATGGTTAGACAGCAGATTTCTAAGGTTTTCAGGCCCAAGCACAATAACTTCAGTTTTGTCAGAGTTTAGAAGTAAGAAGTTGCAGGTCATCCAGGCCTTTATGTCTTTAAGACATGCCTGAAGTTTGACCAGCTGACCTGATTCATTTGGCTTCATAGATAAATATAACTGAGTATCAGATGCATATCAATGGCAATTTATGCTGTGCTTCCTGATAATATTGCCTAAAGGGAGCATGTATAAAGTGAAGAGAATTGGACCTAAGACAGAGCCCTGTGGAACGCCGTGACTAACTTCAGTTTGTGTGGCGAGAAGATTGTTGGTGATTTTCACTAGTGCTGTTTCTGTACTCTGATGGACTCTAAAACCTGACTGAAAATCCTCAAACAAATTTTATTTTATTTGTAAAGAAGCTCATGAAGTCATTACTACTGAGATCTAAGGGAATATTAAGCTCAACAGCACTGTTGCTCTTTGTCAGCCTGGCTATAGTGCTGAAAAGAAACCCAGAGTTATTTTCCTCTATCAGTGATGATTAAATAATCAGCCACAGGGAGAGAAAGGGAGAGAAGAGAAAGAAGATGTGGCTTGTTATTTTGGGGAGGTGACAGTAGTGCGGGGAGGCGACAGTGGTGTGGTGGGTAGAGCAGGTGGCTCCCAACCAGACGGGTGAAAGGTTGAATCTCGGCAGTCCACGTGTCCTTGGGCAAGACACTGAATCCCCCCGTTGCCCCCGATGGTTAGAGCCGTCGGTTGAGATGGCTGCCATCGATTCTGTACCAGAAACAAATTCCTTGTGTGTAACATACTTGGCCAATAAAGGTGATTAAAAGTTTAAGTTACAGATTATTATTAATATGGACTGAATGCACTGTTGAGGCTGTCATTGTCAGCATCTACATGAATATTAAAGTCGCCTACTATGATTATGTTATCTGTACTAAACACTAAATGAATGAGGAGCAGGTGGACGATATACAATAACAACTAGAACTGGTTTTTGAGTTTGCCACTTAGGGTGTGAGAGACTCAGGATGAGGCTTTCAAATCAGTTATAATTATGTTTAGGTCTAGGGTTGATTAATAGACTTGAGTCAAAGATCGCTGCCACACCTCCACCTAAGCCTGCACGTCGAGGGACATGACAGCCACTGTGACCAGGTGGGGTGGATTCAGTAAGACACAATAAATCAATGTGATGTTCATGTGATTTGGATGAGAGAGAAACTTTTTCTGTTTATATTGAAAAACATAATGCCATGAAACAAATGTAATGGAAAAAAACCTTTATTATATAGACCCCTCCCCCACCTCTGTCTCTTCCTTCTCTTTTCACACGTTCACACACACTTCAATTCCTAATGGACTGTGTGGATGGGATACTGTGGAGGTTGAACTCCTGCCCCTCAGATGGATATGTCATTTATAAATCCTTAACCCGAAGAACAAGTGAAAGGCCGACCTCTCCTAAGTTAGCCTCCTGCCTTTTCAGGGGCTGTGCCAGACAACTGGAAAGTAATTTAAAGGACCAGTTTGTGCCAGGAGTGGCATCATGGGACAGAAACGCTAAAATCGCTCCTTTACATGGAGCTGCTTCTCTTAATTCACAGTGTTGAGAAGGATCTTCAGACACTTTAGACATCAGGTGTCAGGAGCAGGTGTTAATAACACACCAGATATTTGGCTTGTGCATTACCCCAACAGATGTAACAAAAGAAGAAAAAGAAGCAGTGCAAAAAGAAACCCACGTTTTTCCTGAAAGCAGTCCCATTGATCACCTACAGTAAATAGATTAGACTCCACTGATGGATGGATTAAGCACCTGGTGAGACAATGGCAAGCACACCTCTGCAGCAGAAGCATAATTTTTTCTTTTTATCTTAATTTGCCAAGAACATTTAAAGTGCCAGTGGTGTATTTACATTTCTTTTCTTTATGTGTATGCAGTGGAATAAATAAGTATACATAACATTTTGTTCAAAAGGACATTAATGGGAAAGGAGCCAAATATTGTTAGCATACTGGTGTCAATTTTTTGTAATTTTGCACATATGCAATATAGTTAAAAGTACTGAAAATCACAAGAACAAGAAACTGTATCAATTAAGTTTATTAATTTAGTGCACAAAAAGGCAAGATCAACATCACTATCATCATTACAGAGGTCAACACAAGGGGTGTCTATTTTGAAAGAAACAAAAGCCCATGAGTTTCAACGACTAGACACACGAGCAGCATACTGCAGAACACATTAAAATCAATACAAATACATCTACGAAGATCACTTGAGCGCTCACAATGGCACCGTAAAAGCGGAGGAATTCTGTGTTTTCAAGCTGATGGGTAGAGGGAAAAATATTTTTGTTTGTAAGCACACTGAACGATTAAGTGCTCAACTTAACATATAAATGACAATGAGCTTTCTGTACACTCCATGAAAAGACTCTAGGCTAACATTAAAATAATTCAGATTGATAAAACATCTCATATGATGGTTGCTTAAAAACCCATTCAACCATTCATGAAAATGTATTGATACAGGTTTTTGCTTTTAGATGAAAACAAACAACACAGCTTAAATGAAATCACATCATACAAAAAATGTTGCTTAACTATATACACACCAAAACATTTTATGAATGTAGCTACCGAACCGAGGCTCATACATACAAAGTTTGCAGTAGTAGCATGATGGAAGACTTTATATGGCAAAAGAGTTTCTGCAAAGTTTTTTTTTTTTAACTTATAACAATAATAATCACCTTTATTTGGCCAAGTATGTTACACACACGGAATTTGTTTCCGGTGCAGAACTGAGGCAGCCATCTGCGGCGCCAAATCAATCAATGGCTCTGACCATCGGGGGCAATGGGGGTTCAGTGTCTTGCCCAAGGACACTTTGAGAAGTGGACTGCAGGCACCGAGATTCAAGCCTCCGACCCTCTGGTTGGGAGATGATTGCTCTACCCACTGAACCACAATTGCCCCCTTATGGAAAATATTGCTAGTGGTACCATTTACTGGTATTCATGCTGAGTGAGTTCCCAAACCATTACGGATGGGCAATGATCAGTTCTCACTGAAAATGTTACAGGTTTTTGGGTATGCTGTGTGTTAGTATAACAAATGGGCACATATTAAAGTGTGCTTTATTTGACCCAGGACAACAGCTGCATTGACATATATGAGAAGCCTAATTCAGACATAAAAGTCTGCAGCCACACCAGCAGCCCAGTGAGGCATTACTTACAGCAGACAGAGCAATGCTTTGAGCTAAATGCTAACATGCTGGTACTAAGCATTTTTTTTTTCTGTTCACCATCTTAGTTTAGCATGTTAGCATACATACATTTGCTATTCAGCATTTAACACAAAGTACACAAAAACAAAGCTACATTTTTTGCTTCGTAAATATGTAGTCATAAACCAGAGTCCTGGACAACTTCAAACGTTGACCTGATGACTGCACAAGATGAAATGTTAAAGTTATTATAATTCATCCTGAGGAGGACATGAATGTGTGTACCCAGTGTCATGGCAATGCATCCAACAGTTGTTCCAACATTTCACTTAATCTAATAGTTGTAGAAATATTATTTTGAGCCATGCCCCACACACAGATAAAACAACCACGATTGGCCCTATTATATTTAAACTTCCATTGAAAAATATGTTTATTAGCATCTTCAGTCATAATGCATGTGTCAGAACAAACAAGTAATCCCATAGTAATGCTGATTAGGAAGTTGCTAAAACCAGTATAAAGAATTTCATGGCAACAGGTGTTAAAAGCAATCTACAAGGCACCGACCATCAGGAAGAGTTGCGAGGGATAATACTGTACATGACAAGGCATCCAGTTATATATCAGTAATAATAACAATGCATAACAAGTGAAACATTATGGTCTTATTGACTTAAATTATTATTTACTTGATATATAAAATGGATGCCTCAGAGCTGTGTGGGTCTGTGACAGCCATCTGAGTTTTCAGACATTCTGCAGTCATAATAATGCCATCCCATAAAACTAACATTGCCATGTTTAGTGCCAACTCTTGCGTTACCCAGGGCTGTGGCTGTATTTATTTAGATATTTCAATGTGGTTCTTACATTGTGATAACCACAGATGCTGTCCTGTTGTACTGTTTTTAGTTCCTTACACTAGCTACAGTTGGCAGCACAACACTGAGTCCTCTCAGGACTAGACAGTAAAATTAATCATTTAATAATCAGTTTACCTAACAGCTACTCTTAGCTCTACAGTCATACACTTTTTCATGCATTCAAAAATAATTGGAGGTTTAAAAGCTTAAAAAGGCCATTTAGATGAACAGTATATGTACATCACTGTTTTCCTTCATGTTTTCCACTGTTTCCAGTTGACGCAAAATTCTTTGTCAGATTAGCTGTCAGCAAACCTGATAAGAAGCGTTTTATTTAAGGATTTTAAAAATGTGAATTTATAGACAAGACTGCCTCCAGTAATGACACAAATACGTATTTTCATAACCCCCGACTCTCTTTTTAAGTAAAATATGGACATATGATCAAAACAAGATGTCATCATTGCAAACCAGGAAAGCTTCTCTTATTTAATTTACAGCAGGCATTTATGGTGAGGATAAGTGCACTACACATAGACCTGTATTTGTGTCTGTCCTGCAAATTCACCAGATTTTACTGAATACAGATCCATCATGTGCCTTATGTAATCACAGGCAGTAAGAAGGCACCTTCTTTAATGCCAGTACCAGGGACGACAGGATAACATGTTCATATGGGCATTTTGCTGTGAAGAATCTTGCTGGTGGTCTTTAGCTTCAGGGAGAATGAGAGAACATTGTACACAAACGTGTTTAACGGCAGCTACATAATGCTTCAATATGATACAGATCCTCCTTTATTTCATGAGATATGCGTTCTTTGGAAAAGTTATACAATCACTTCAACAACAACAACAATGCCCAGATGAGAACGAGTGGCAAGACGAAAGCTCAGTATGGATTAAATGGCTCAACTGAAGGTAAAATCCTTGTCTGGATGAGTGCGATCATAAGCCATGCTCTAAGTTCGCTTGGTCAGAGGTCTCCCTTCACGGACATGCTTGGTGCTCCTCTTTTCTGTCTTACCCTTCTCCCTCACCTTTCTCAGGCGTCGCGGAGGTGGTGTACCTCTTGACTCGCTGTCCTCCTGAGCGCTGGATGTATCCATCCCGTCTCGCTCCTCAGGAATATTGGGAATAGCCCCGCTGCTCCCATCCAAAATGTTCCTCAGGGAAGGGTCCTCTGGTGTGCAGGTGGCAGTGGTGCCACTCTCACTACTGCTCAAGTCCTGTTCTTCACCGTAACGCCCCCCTCGGCTGTGGTGCGGCAAAGACGAGGCCCTGACCGAAGGCCTGTCGCGCTCTGTTTCGCGGATGTTCTGCTGAGGCTCATTCATGTCCACCCCTGAGTCCAGGCTGGTGTCATTGCTGCTGGGTGGCCGGTGGCGGCTCTGGAGATCAATGATGGAGTGGCGTACCTGGGCGGCCGGCTTCCCATCTAAGGAGACGAACCAGGCCCTAGGATGAGATGAGGAGGACTTGCCACGGGTCAGCTCCAGCAATGTGCGCTCTGAGATCCCCTGTAGCTCACCGGGCACGCCATGCCCACCGCTGAACGTCTGCATACCAGCCGCCTCATTGAGAGTACCAGGCACGGACACAGAGGATTCAAGCAGGTTACTGTAGCGTCCCCACACACCAGCGTTAGGGCCTTGGCTTTGGGGAGGAGTCTCCAGAGGCTGGGGCTCGTCTTGGCTGCTCCGCTGTGGGCTGCTTTCACCTCGGGACTGGTGGTGGTGAAGAACCTTGGGCAGTGTCTGGGTGTAGCTGTCTTTACTTGTAGGCTCTGAGTGAGCATCATATTCAGCTCCATTGCGTGGGAAAGTAGCAGCCTTGCAGCCTGACATTTGCTGCTCCTGAGCAGTGAAAAGCTCTGGGGCCTGAATAATGGCCACTGGTCGGTTATAGATGTGAACCAGCTTATCTTGAAAGAAGGTGTCAGAGTTCACGTTGGCCCGACTCCGCTCTGACTTCTCCCTCAGCCGAGCTACCTCTTCACCGTTGATGTAGTGAGGTGGAGGATGGGGACCTTTGATCCGATCTGAAGCGATATTCTCATAAAGAGGAGCTGTTGGGACACTCCCCGGTTCCTCCACATAAATGTTGTAGTTGACTCTGTGCCTCGGTGTGGACGAAGGCTCGCACTGGATGCTACAGGACACAAGGCTGTTGTCGCCAGAACGGAACAACAAACCCTCTTCCATGTGGGTGGAGGTGGTTTGGTCCTTTTTTACCACTGTGAGTTTAGAGAAGCGGGCCCTCTTCCTCCCAGGCTCTCGATAAGAACCTCTGCTTTTGGAAGAAACAGAATGTACTCAATACAGACACTGTTTCACAGGACTGTAGCTACAAAACCCCTTACTATGCCAAATTTAGTAATGGGGTGGTTTATTACTTATAATAAAAGTTGCATTGTCTCACTTTTGGCACAAACAAGTCATTTTCATTTGAGCCACCACCACTGCAGTTTCCATCACCTTGTTTTAATGTATATTACTGTAATTTTAATTTTGCTAAATGAAAATAAGCAGTGTAGAAAACAGAAAAAAACTGACACTGATCAATAACATTTCTGATATGATTTCTTACCCACAGTGGCATAGCAGCAAAGAAAGAAATCCAATCACTATAGCCAGTGTTGCTCCCAGTATTCCCATCAACAAGTAGGTGTGGTATGATATGAAATCCACTGAGCTTCCATGTCCCAGATAATCTAAATAGTTAAATGTGTAGGTAAACATAAAACAATTATGAGCGCTACACAAACAGCATGACATGTGGTAATGGAGGTAAATGAGGTTTGTACCGTTTGAGGAGGGCAGGGGGGCGGCAATCCAGTAGCCCAGATGGGAAGCTGTGTAGGTCCAGACCAGCTCATCGCCTACTGCTTTTACTACTCCCAGCCCCTGATTCTCCCAGGCACCTTCATGCAGAACATATACTAGTTTGTTTATCAGCCAATACATGAATTCAGCACAAGTACTATGAAGCCTATGAATTGTCAATGTTGCTTTTATGTATTTTAAGGAGCATGTAAAATTTATTTCAGAGAGAAACTGAATGTAGAACTTAAGCGTCTCCTATTATTGTTGTTGGCAAAGGTGTTACACTAAAGTTTTAGAGTGTCATTGTCGTGTATTAATGTTTATTTACATGCATCATTCATGAGTCTTATTTTGTAATGTTATTCCTCTAATTTTTATTCGTACCAGTCCTCAGGTTGAAGGCCCAGGCTGGCACAGTATCAGAGGCCCTGAGGTGGGTGTCGTGTCCAAGGGGCAGGCTAATTTGAACAGGCCCTCGGACCTGGAGCCCCTCATTGCCGAAGTACAGCTGGATGCTGATGGATGCCACTGCCTTCAGCTCGACGGTTCTGAGCGCTGTGTACGCAAGGACCCGAGTTAAGCATTTAAAATGTTATACACATTCTTATGTTTAAACCAGAACAATCGTGAAACAAGCTGTGAGGTCTGCAGTGCAAAATATGTGTACAGAACCACAACCACAGTTTTTCTCTCCCTTTTAGTATATTTTCAACACTTTTAACACTCACATGATTTGTTGCTGATGATGCCTGGAGTGCAGTTGATGCAGTCTTTAGCTATGTGTTGCTGTGGTACAGTCAGGTAAGCAGTCACTGAGGAGATGTTGCTCTTTTCAGGGAGTGTGAGGAGGTTCTTGGGGAACTTGACCTTAGGCTGGGAGGAACTGTCTGTGAGTACCAGATGACATATGATGAATCATAATATGGACCTTTTGACAATATGTTTGAATATAAAATGTATTTTGATTGACTGTATTTTGATTTGGCAGAGAAGATGAAAGAGAAGTGGCTTTATTTTACAGAAGAGGGGCCTTTTAAATCCAGTATTATTTTAAAAAGAGACTTGGTTTAAACAGAGCATCTACAGAGATACAAGATGTTGGAGGCTTAATTGTCCCCAAAAGATCTGAGGCACAAAAACAGTATTATAGTCTATCTCTACACTTATTAGGTAGTGAATCGGTCCTATTCATATTTTCATATTGTAGTACAGTAGATATTCATGTATTATGTAAGCATTTTCTTGTATCAGATTAAAGTTCAGCTCAGTTGATTCAGAAAAATATATTTGATTTTATTCAGCTCAAGGCCTTAAGTGAAAGGTATTGAGATGAAGTTGAACTGACTCTGATCCATGTGCAAACTTACCAGGTAACTTCCCGATGATGAGTACCGAGTCTTCAAACAGCCACACGTTCCCCTGACTGTGAGGAAGCAGCAGCAGCGTCACAGCAGAAAAAACTGCAGGGGCATAAAGCAAAGGTCAGGACTCAGCCACACATATCACTATTGTTTTAGCATTTTATTTCAGTTCTGACATTTCTAGTAGTTTTACATGGTATACATCACCACTATAAATCAGAGCGAATCAAGAAGGAGAGTGAGAACATTTCCACTGACTCTATACCTTTTGGCAGATCATGAGAATAGTTCCAAATATTAGGAACGGCACCACAGAGTTACACTGACTTGGCTACCCCTTGCTATTTTCTAGAGTAAGAACTTTAAATCAATAGCATTATACTTTATACTTGTGACATTTTAAGTTAGCAACATGTCAAAACATTTACAACCTCTTGACTGCCTCCCTCAAATACTGGGCCACTTTAATAATTAGTTATTTAGCTAACTAGCTAAATTAGCTGAGTTATCTACAAAACAGAGCACAGAATGTTTGTAACGCTGTACACATAATTATAAATAGCAACTGCCAATAAATCCTGCTGTTCCCTACAGAAAACAATGGATCTTAATTGAATGTTCGGACCTATTTGAAGCCACATGACGTGAACTACTGCCATTTTCGAACCCTTGGCCTGACAACTCGTCTATCTTAATGGCTCAGAAATGTGAATAGTACAAATGTAAAGTGAAAGATCAAAAGTGATAGTATGTTAAAATCTCTATATCTACTTTAAATTTAAATATCAGTGGGAAATAGACAGGCTGTTTGTCTAAGATGTAGTTTGTTTTTGGGCAAGCAACCTGTTCACAGTGACTTGTAGACCTGCGTTACCACCGGCAGATGGCAGTGCTGCCTCAAGCCTCTTTTTAGGGTTCTGTTGTCTGGCTCTGCAGCACAGGAGGGAGGTGCCTCTGATAGTGCAGAACAAGGGGGGTCTCGACAGATGACTCTCTCTCTTGTTTTTAATCCCTCATATCACTTGCTCCATCTTTGCTTTGAAACACCACCTTCCCATTTCTTTTCTGTCTCATTCACACTAGTAAGAGGAAGTGGGAGTAGAGTAAGATCCCGGCCCCTTTTGAACACCAATATGAGCTCACTGTGGCTAAAGAGCTCCCACCCCCATCACCCCCTTGATTCTGTGCAGGACAAAGACTGTTTACTGAGGACGAGATATGTTTCACCCAGGCTTGACTCTACAGGGCATGCTGATGTGGAAACAAAGGATAAATTGAGCATAGAGCATGGCGTTCAGTTACACTTGACTGGACACTGAACATAAATTGCTTCATCACGAACAAACCTCAGTGACATGTTGTATGTAATCGCAGACAGTTCATGAATCTATAATGTCCATTAATAATGGCAGTTGAGAATGTGTGAATATTTTGTTTGCAATTACTCAAAATACGTATTTACAAATTGTTTTATAGCACACTGTCAGTCACTGTCAACTTTAATGCCACATGTTTTCATTTTTAGGTTCAGTG